CGCCCCCCCCCCCCGCCAGCCCCTTCAGGTCGGCCAGGTCCTCGGACGGCAGGGCGCTCTCGCGGGGCTTCCTCCCCGCCTCGTCCGCGTCCCCGCGCACCTCGTCCTGCGTGGGGTCCGGCATGCTGGCCAGGAGCTCGGCCACCTTGATCTTCTTGGCGCCCTCCACCAGGCTGCCCCCCAGCAGCAGGGAGCACACGATGCGGAAGAAGCCGCGGGCCACGCTGGCTGCAAAGCGCAGCAAGCCCAGCAGCAGGCGCCAGCAGGACGCCAGCAGGGCGGCCAGCAGGTCCCGCACCGTCATCCTCTTGGCCCGCTTCACCTGCTTCTTCAGGCTCTTCAGGCTGAGCAGGCGCAGCAGAACCAGGAGGTTGTACCGGAGGGCCAGCAGGGCTGACCGGAGCATCAGCACCGAGAAGAAGCCGGGCCTCGGGCCCTGCTCCTCAGGCCGGTCCCTCTCGCTGTCCTCCTTGCTCGCCGACCGCTCGTTCAGGTCCGACTCGGAGATCTGGGCGGCCAGCTGCATCTCGAAGATGGTGTCCTCACAGAAGTTCACAAACAGCTCCATCTTCTCCTTCTCCCCACCCTCGTTGACCACGTCAAAGATGAACTGCCGCTTGGACTCCTTGACCTGCGGCTTCTCCCACTGGGTGCGGCTGGACTCGCTGATCTCGAAGTACACCCGCTCGATGCGCTTGGCGCTGCCCATGATCTCGATGCGGCCCAGGAAGGGCTGGAAGTAGTGCAGCGCACTCTCCGCCAGCGCCAGGAAGGTGTGCAGCCGCGGGTCGTGGGGCATGTGCTCCGACAGGTTGGTCAGCAGCACCGCCACGTTGAAGCCGATGTCCTTGGCGGGCTCATGGAAGCGCTTGACGAACTCCTCGTAGTCCAGGGTCTCGTTCTCATCGGTCTCGGCACAGGAGAGCAGGAACTCGGTCTCGGACGGCGTGTAGTGCTTGTGGCCCTCCATTGCCCTGTGGAAGTCCCTCTTGGAGATGACGCCCTTGCCATCAGGGTCGCACTCCTTGAAGGTGTCGGAGGACGTCAGGTCCTTCAGTTTCAGGAACATGTCGAAGAACTTGAGGATCATCTCCACGTTGTGGGAGGACTCCACCAGCATGTCCACCATCTGCTTGCCGATCGTGCCGTTGACAACGTTACCTGTGACAAGGCGACCGCGTTTGTTCACAAGGCCCTCCCGGCCAGGCCAGCGGCTGTGGGCGTCACGAACGCCAAATCGGGGCTCTGCTGTGAGTATCTCAGGTGTTTGACAACTATGGTTTTTTAAGGATGTGGGGAGGTGGGGCACTGACTCTCCGAGCCCGAGCTCCTGCTGCCACTGCAGCCCCGGCACAGGACAGGGTGTGACTGTGCAGGGACAGGGCCTGGGAGGAGGACAGGGTCACACGGAGCGGCTAGGTGGGGACAGGGCCAAGGCTCACTCTCCCCTGTGGCTCTCACCCCTCAGGACTTGGAGCACCCACAGGGAGGACTGCACGGTCTCACGGCAGGGTGCACCTGGCTGCAGTCTCTCTACACGCCTGCAGTCCCCTCCGCTTACAGACAGGAAACCCGCAGTGACACACTGCCTGCAAACCTGACCAGTGGGCCGCGGGGGCTCCCAAGCCAGGAGGCTGTTTCCCGCACAGAGAAGTCCCCCTTCCTGAGAGCAGACGTGAAGCAGAGCAAGCCAGCACTAGGCCCTGCACTGTGTGTCCCACGTCAGCGCCACTCTGTACATCGACCCTACAGGGCACACGCCCTGTCCTGCCATGGCAGAGCACAGGACCCCGAGTGCTCACGGTGGGAGGCTCTGAGTTTTCACAGTGAGGAGCCCGAGTGTTCGTGATGGGGACCCCGAGTGCTCACGGTGGGAGACCCTGAGTTTTCACAGTGGGGACCCCGAGTGCTCATGGTGGGGACTCCGAGTGCTCACGGTGAGGGACCCCAAGGTGGGGACTCTGAGTGCTCACGGTGGGGACCCTGAGTGCTCATGGTGAGGGACCCCGAGTGCTCACAGTGGGGACCCCGAGTGCTCATGGTGAGGGACCTGGAGTGCTCATGGTGGGGACCCTGAGTGCTCACGGTGAGGGACCCTGAGTGCTCATGGTGGAGACTCCGAGTGCTCACGGTGAGGGACCCCGAGTTTTCACAGTGGGGAGCCTGAGTGCTCATGGTGAGAGGGGCCCCGAGTGCTCACGGTGAGGGACCCCGAGTTTTCACAGTGGGGAGCCTGAGTGCTCATGGTGAGAGGGGCCCCGAGTGCTCACGGTGAGGGACCCCGAGTTTTCACAGTGGGGAGCCTGAGTGCTCATGGTGAGAGGGGCCCCGAGTGCTCACGGTGAGGGACCCCGAGTGCTCACAGTGGGGACCCCGAGTGCTCATGGTGGGGACTCCAAGTGCTCACGGTGGGGACCCAGAGTGCTCATGGTGGGGGACCCCGAGTGCTCACAGTGGGGGACCCCAAGTTTTCACTGTGGGGAGCCCGAGTGCTCACAATGGAGACCCTGAGTGCTCATGGTGAGGGACCCCGAGTGCTCACGGTGGGGACCCCGAGGTGGGGACCCCGAGTGCTCACGCCGCAGCCCCGCCGGGACGCGCTACCTTCCAGCATGGACAGCAGCGTGACCACCATGTCCTTCTGCAGGTCCATCAGCTCCTTCAGCAGCTCGATCTGACTGGAGTCCTGGGGATGCGAGCGCAGGCGTGTGAGGTGGGCACACCCCGCCGCGAGGGCTCCCCTGCCCCCACCCCGCCAGCATCAAGAATGTGGAGGTGCCAGGGCGCTGCACCCCAGCCGGATGGGGCAGACACATGCCAGTGAAGACCATCAGTGCTGACCCCCACCGTCCGTGAGGACGAGAACACGGGCTCCCCACAGCCCAGGCTGGGCACCCCCAGGGCTTCTGCAGCCCGGATCCACCCTGGGAAGGCAGGGTCCGTGCTCTGATGGCTGACGGGCCGCTCTGAACCATGGAAACGGCACTTGCTGAAGGAGCGCTGGCATAGAAGTGACACAGGAGGTGGACACAGGGCACAGCCCTGACGGGGACCGTGCACAGCCTGAGACAGGGCCTCTGGCCGCCAGCCCAAGGTGGACAGGACTCTGACACAGGCAGCCGCCAGCCCGAGGTGGACAGGACTCTGACACAGGCAGCCACCAGCCCGAGGTGGACAGGACTCTGACGCGGGCAACCACACCCGACGGGGACAGGGCTCTGACGCGGGCGACCACACCCGACGGGGGCAGGGCTCTGCCGCTGGTGGCCGCCAACCCTCCTGCACAGCCGTCTGACCAAGACTGCCCGTCCCGACTCCCAGTCCCTCACCTCCTCACCCTCACGTCACCTCTGAACTAGCGGAAGTTGGTTCAGACTCCTCCCTGGCACCACGGATGACCAGGACGTCTGTGCTTGCTGGCTAGTGGGCTGCCACCCGCGCTTCCCGCCCTGCCTGCAGGCCTTGGGGACAACACTGGCCCGCTCATGGCAGGGACTGCAGGACAGGGTCCTGACTGCCAGTCAAGCTTTCTGCCACGGGAACACCAGAGAATGCCCGTGTCCCGGCAGGTCTGTTAGAGCACGGGGTTCCCCAGCGACGCTCACCCGTTGAAGGGACGGGCGCTCCACCGTGGCAGCCTGGGCCTCAGCAGCGCAGGAGCAGTGAGAGAACCCTGTCCCGATGGGCTCCCCAACCCTGGGACATGCTGGGCCCTTCATAAGCCCCTCAACAAGCCCCAGGGCAGGACAGCCCAGTGAGTGACACCTGGCGTGCTCCCAGCTGCAGCAGGCAGCACTGGGGACACCGTGTCATGACATGAGGTCCTCGGTCCCCTTCGCTCTAAGGTCTGAATCACGAGTCTCACCTGGCCTCAGTTTGCCAAGGGTTCCCGTTACTTAGAGAACGTTTTTAACACAGAGTAGAAAAATGCGTAAAGAGGAGACCCAGAGACAGTCCTCAAACATGGCTGGGCACGTCAACGTTGCCAAAGATGGCGGTGCCCCTCTCCTTGGACACGTGGGAGGCCAGCTCACCTGCGACAGCTTCATCTGCATGTGGGCGAACACGTGGAGGAAGCCCACCACCGCGTCCCAGAGCCTGCTGTGCGCCAGGCTCTGCTGGTTCCCCGTGCACGGGCCCTGGGAGGACAGACAGACAGCGGTCACTCCCAGCCCCGCATCCCCAGAGCTTTGCTTATGCTCACGTTTCACTGGGAGGTGTGAAGACAGGGGCTCGGAGGGCAGGGACGGTGACAGGGACAGGGACAGGACAGTTTCCTTAGGAAATAAACAGCATGCTGTCCTTTGTATGTCTAATAAAGTCCCCCAAAAAGTCGGTCGAGGAGCGTTCTCTCACTTTCTGCACAAATGATAAAGCGCTGAGGAGAGTGTGGTGGGACTCTCCCTCGGTCTGGCTCTGACCTCTGGTGAGTAGCGGGAAAGGTCACGCCAGGTCACTTGTTGTCACTCCCAGGTGCTGAAGAGACCTGAGGGTGTGCCTGGCAGGGAACGAGTCTCACTCCCGGACCACAACCTCCCACGACGCCTCGCTGGGGCGACTGCCTGCAGACAGTGCAGGACCTGACCACGCTGCCACCTGGTGACAGCCCCCGGGCAGGCGCTGGACCTGCAGGACGCTAGCAGGATGTGGCCAGGGCTCCCAGCGAGCCACACTCAGACCACTGGGCCACAAACACCAGCCAGCTTCTAGCAGCAGCTGTCCTGTCAGAAGCCACCCTGCTCTGACTAGGGCCTGCCGCCCTCAGCAGTGCACGGCTGCCTCCAGGACGCCCTCAGCAGTGCACGGCTGCCTCCAGGACGCCCCAGAAGCGATCCCGTGGAGGGCTCTGTCCCATGAGAGCTCGGTGGATGCTTCAGCCTTAGACAAGTGCATGAAGCTCCCTTGGCGACTGAGAAATGCCCACTCCTGGCTGAGAGCAGGTGTGCACACTGGCACACGCATGCCGGCTCACGGAGCACATCTCCGACAGCACCGGCTCGCTGACGTCACTGCCGCCTTCTCTCCCAGGGCAGCTTGGGAAGGCCAGTGCACAAGGAACCTTCTAGACCTGGCTGAGCACACACCGAGGCAGTAACACGGCCAGGCAGTGAGGGAAGGAATGGGGACGAGTGGACTGAAAGTGGCTTCAACTTTCACTCTTCCTTGACCTTAAAAAAACGTGTTAGAATGATCTAGTATGACACTACCATTTTGAATAAGGATCTTCTTTCTCACCCAGGGAGAAAATACTACAAAAAGTCAGATCCGCCCAGGGTGGGACACAGGAGAGAAGGGACGCAGGGTTCCTGCCACTCTGCAGGGCAGGCCCAGGAGTCCTCACTCACCCACCGCCTGTGGCTAGCCTAGGGGAGGGCTCCGGGGGCTTGTTACCTAACGTCCCCCACCCCCAGATAGGGGTCCGTCTAACAGGGCAACTCCATTTCCTCAGGCCACCCTGGCATCGGGACGGAGACAGAAAGGAGAGAAGGCTGACAGCCTGCCAAGGAATAGCAAAGTTAAGCTAATTAAAATGAAAAATTATACAAGATCTTTTAAAAACCTGAGCTCGACTAATTTTCTTCTTTGACAAATGTTTGCTATGTGGTATACGTGCTCCCCAGGGGGGATGCCACAATGTCTTCTCCGCCATGCTCCTTTTGGGATTTGGGGCACACGCACACACACACACACACACACACACACACACGTCCCCGGTATGAGTTTTAGGCCACTAGGTCCAGGACTCAAACCACGGTCGACTACCTGGGAGCCCAGCGACACAGCCATTGCATCCGCTCTGGTGCCTGAGACTAAAGCTTAGCGGCTCAGGAGAACATGAAACAGATCAGTTCAGGAAGAAAGGCCCCTCCCCACGGTGTCTGCACCCCTGTCTGCTCGCTATAGCAGCCCGCGCCGCGTGCACAAGCAGGGAGGCTTTGCACCCACTGTCCTTTCCATCCGGCAGCCTTGAAACCTCCTCCTCCCTTTACCAGAACACGACCCGGGGCTGGAGCCCGCTCTCCCCCTCGCTCCCTCTCTCCCGCCCTCAGCCACACTGAGACGTAAAACAGCGCCAGAATCCCACATGCACCAGCGCCGGGAGCCACCGCGCCAAGCCATCTGCCAGACGCCGGGCGATCCCACCGTGCGTACGTTCCAGCCCAGCCTACATGGGGGCTGGGGTCACCGCGCAGACAAGGTCGGGGTCGCAGGAAGTGGGGAGACAGCAAGCACACACTCGGGGCCTTGCTCCCGGGACCCCACACTGCTGGCCGCTCACCTGGATGTACTCCGTGAGCGTGTTGAAGACCTGCTTAGCCACCTGGATAGCTTTGGAGAAATTGCGCTGCCCCTGCTCGTCGATGACGTCCTTCCCCGAGTAGTACCAGTAGAAGTCACTGATGGACTCCTGGAAAGCAGAGGGGACGGTCGCGGGCCCGTCCAGTCATGGACGCCCTAGGGGCTGGGCCACGGTCGAGGACACGGGAGGCTGGCCATGGCTCAACTGCGCTCTTACGCAGTCACTAGGCACCTCCTCCCTAGGAGTGGAGAGCAGCGGCACCGGGGCTGGCGGACAGCTCTCTAAGCCGCCCTCTGTCTGACCCCACCGCTCCTCCACCCGGAGGGTCCCTGAGACCGACGTGCGTGCCAGCGAGCCCAGTCAGGGTGCAGGGCACACAGACGCCTGCCGGGCTGCGCGCAGCACGCAGGCAGGACCCGCCTGCTCGCCCCAGCAGGGCTGCCGTGCTGTGGCCACCGCGGGGCCCTCCGCAGGGCGGTGAGCACTGGGACATCGGTGGCCTGCCCTGCACCCCCACGGCAGCTGTGCACGCCCAGGCCGGCTCGAGGGCAAGTGCTTTCAGCTGTCACCTGCGCGTGGCAGGATTTTAACCATCAAGTGGGTAGGATGACACCATTCCAGACACGAACCACAGCTGGGGTTTGAGGCATGATGTGAAAAACTGCAGTTACATTTTCAACAACACTTGTGGTATTTTCTTCAATGAACTGTTTTTCTCCCATTATATATTAATTGGGAAAAAAAAAGTAGTGCTTTTATGTACTCATGATTAAGGAAAAAGCAGAAAGTTTTTTTTTTTTTTTTTTTTGAGAGATTTTCACTGTAGGGCGCGTGCGCTCGCCAGACAGACAGAGAGAGACATAGAGACAGAAAGCGAGAAATCACCCCCCAGGGGGGATGGTCACGCCGCAATCCCTTCTCCTCCATTCTCCTCTCGGGATCTTGGGCACGCACGCACACGCGCCCGGCGTGAGTTTTAAGCCACCGGGTCCGGGACACAAACCGCAGTCGACTATGTGGGAGACCAGCGACATAGCCATTACGCTAACTGCTGGTTCCCAAAAGCAGAAAGTTTTAAAGTGTAGTTTCTGAGACACCGTGCCCCACTTTTTAATAAAGTGAGGGAGTCGAAGCTGCAGAGCGCTCCCTCCCTGAAGAGGCTGTGCCTTCAGATCCTGTTGCTAAGGCAGCAGATATGCCCCGCCTCTCCGGTGGTTTGGTTCTTCACTTGTTTTTAAGAGAGATTTTTGCTACAGGCCATGCGTGTTCATCAGAGAAATAGAGACAGAAAGTGAGAAATCACCATCAGCCCCGCGGGGGAGGGGGAGCAGCGCAATCCCTTCTCCTCCCTTCCCCTCAGGATCTTGAGCACGCATGCACATGTGCCTGGTGAGTTTTACGCTGCCGGGTCTGGACTCGCACCGCGGTCGACTATGTTGGAGTCTGGCAGCCTAACCATCAAGCCATTTGCTGGTCCTCCCAGGTAAATTTTTAAGCAGGATTTTTAGATTAATGCAAATATGAGGATGACTGAGAAGAAGCCAGGCTCCGGAATGCAAGCGTTTGCTGGTCTCTGGGAAGACTTTCTATCCTGTCACTACGGACATTTCAAAGATTCTTCTCTAATCTGTCAGCTGTAGAGAAAGAAGCAGACCATGGACGTGCCTCCCAGGGCGAACGTGAGTCTAAACTGCAGACCAGCTCAGAGAGGAGGAAATCCACCCCCGTTACAGAAAGAAAACGGTGAACAAGATCGGAGCCAGGAGCCAGGAGCCAGGAGCCAGGTGGGGGTGAACACGGTTGTCGCTGCAGGAGTGTCCCACGCAGAGCACCGGCCGGAAGGGGCTGCACAGCACAGCTCCACATGGAGGCCGTGGGTTTGGACCTGGGGCCGCCCAAACATGCCCAGGCACCAGCCATTACGGCTGGGGGGGGGGGGGGGGGGGGGTGCGGTGTGGGGGG